CTGATACCATGTGGCTGGGCTGAGAGATCGAGCTGCAGGGCTGGCTGTACATTGGTCCCACTACCACTGTTGAAATTGTGGCATTATATACTGGGAACATCCCTTACAAGCAAGAAAAGTATTACACATATCCAAAATATCAATTTCTACAACACGACTAACTGTATCAGTTATAACTACTTGGATCTGTTGAATGTTCATCAAATAAAACAAGACAGATTAGTTTCAAGGACCACAATGACGTCACCAGAGTCAGTGATAAAACTGTCACTGATTGTAACCCGAAACAGTCTTAACAGAAGGCATCACCAATGGTCCCAGAAGGGGGTTAAGAGGTCTGATGTAGTCAATCTTTAAGGACTGGATGGGCCCAAAACTCTGTGTCATGTGGTAAATCAGGGGGCCAACTTTTTTTGGTAGGAATTATAAGTTTGACATGTAAGAGTGGCTTTATTAGAAATACATGTTTTACTTTGTATAAGAGGCGGCAGTGCTTTGTTTTTGTTTTTTCCTTTAACTGACAAGAGGATTCAGAATTATGAAGATGCTTACATTATTTCAAGAAACTACCTGGCAAGCAGGCCCTGAATTGTTTTAGGACCCATCAGTCACTCCCGGTGGCAAGAAGCCAGGGCCATTGAGACTGATACCTTTAACTTGTCAACTAACAGGACATCATTTCTACTTTGAAAACTTCAGATACAGAGAAAATTTTTCTAACACTTTATGAACATTCACAGTTCAAACATATATCAATTGTAACTGCAGCAGTGCATTCAATGAAATCAGCTTGTAGGCCTCGCACAAAATCACTTTCACTTTTTTTCCTCTTTACCCCAAATTTTGCCCAAACTTTTTACCAGGTGCTTTTTTTTTACAGGAACACAACAAAGAGTTTTAAGATGGGCATTTAAGGAGTTACAAGGTAGCAGCCAGGAGCAGCTAGACATTTTATCCTCCTGACTGGAAGCTGGTGGAGTACGGGGGGAGGGGGCATGCCAAGAGGCCAGGGTCAGCTGGAGCAGCAGGGAACTAGAGATCTGCAGCTGGGCTGCAGCAGTATCCAGCAGCAGTACGTACAGCTTTGCACTTAATTTCAGTTTTAAGTGGCATTTCACTTGGCTTCAACAAATAATAATAACAAGATCAGCCTCAACAATGAACTTATAATAATAAAGCACCAATCTCACCTCTTGCTGCTTAACCTTCCAAAAATGTATCCACACTTAGCATATGCTACCAGATCCCAGGGAATCTATTTTCTCCTATGGCCCAGCCCACCCAGCCTTATGAACAGGTCGGACACTGAGGGAACCCCTGCTCCCCTCCCCTCATCCACCACTTAGGCAAGAGCTGCACTAACAGATCCTGGGATGTCTTTATCCCCTAACCTCACACAATTTCATGTGCTATCAGATCCCAAAGGGTTTTAACTCTCCTAACCTGGCCCATGTTACCCTTAGTGGGAGGACCCTACCTCTACCTCCCCTTGCCCACCACTTAAGCAAGAGCATGGAAAAACCAGATCACAGGCGATCTATCTTATCCCTTAACGTGGTCCATCCGATCCCAGTCTTCTAAAAAAGCACTGAAATAGAAGCCTTGCACCTCATCCGAACCTGAGAGGCAATGAGAAACTGTCCCATAACAGCCTCCCTGGAGAAGCAGGATGGTGAGTGGGGAGATGGCTTTGAGATAGCACTTCATGAGCCTCCCATCCTCTTCTGTCCCAGGAGGCTGGCCTATGTGGATTCCTGCAAGTTCTTTAGGGCCAAGACATCTTGCAAGTATCTAAAAGCATTCTCATCTAAAATTAAGGTGATCATCTTCTGACACAAGCTATTGTTCTCCTCTGTTCTCTCTATATACACACATAGTGTCGGCATTCAAATGACCTCGAGTTTGAAATTTGAAAGTCATTTTTCATCCCTCCCTCTCTTTTATGCTATACATTCTCTAGGCTCTCTTACATGTTGCTGTTTCTATTCCCACTGTCACTTTCTTAGATTACAGAGTATTCCCTCTCATTTGGATCATTGCGAGAACCTCTTAACCAGTCTTTCAAAGCCATATCTCTCTTCTCCAACCCACCTTATACACTGCTACAAGATTAACTTTCCTGGTACACAGCTCCGATCATGACATTCCCCTGCTCAGAAAACTTCAGACTAAAAGACCAAACACCCAAACCTCCCAGTCACAACCTGATCCCAGCTCGCCTTTCGAACCTCATTCCCTACTTACTTGGAGTGAAAAGACCTATGTTTGAGTCCTGGATCTGCCACTTGCTAGACATATAACCTTGGAAAAGTCAATTAAATGCTCTGAGCCTCTGTATCCTTATCTGTCAAATGATGATAATGATGATGATGGTGATGATGATGATGATGACAATAATAATAATAATAATAATAATGATGATGTCATTTACCTCAAAGGGTAAAGTTAAAAATGTATTTGTGAAAGCTCTTGAAGGACCTAGAGTTTTGACTGTGAACTCCATGCCCTAATTAAACATAACTACTCAGTATTCTTCATGCCTTTGTTCATGCAGTTGTTCCTTTTGCCTGGAATGCCCTCCCCTCCCCACACCCATATCCACATGTTCCAATCCTTCAAATCTCAGCTCAAATGTCACCTCATCTACAAAGCCTTTCCTAATCCTCCTCTTCCTGGTAAGCTGGAAGTCATCCCTCCCTCCTCTGAACTCACACAGTACTCAGTATGTATATCTTTGCTGATACATCACTTTCTAGTTTGTTGTTATACAAAGCATAAACCTTTGTACATATTTTATCTCTCCTACTAGAAAAGTGAATTTTTGTACCTACCATGGTGGCCTTGCTCACAGTGAATACTCAATAAATATTTACTGAATGAATGATTCACTAGAAAATGCACAAATGGAGGAGAAAACAGTTGAAGGGAAACCTAAAATGAAAGCTCTGGATTACCAGTTAACACTTTGCTCTCTCTTTTCTTTATTATTAATATGACCACGAATACTTGTGATTTGGTTTTAAACCTCTGTGTGTGTGTGTGTGACGTGTGTGTGTGTGATGTGTGTATATATACACACATATATATATACACACACACATATATATATATACACATATATGTGTATATATATACACACACATCACACACACACACACACACATATATATGTGTATGAGTGTATATATATAAAATACACATAAATACCTGTACTCATATGGGACATCTTGGGCCAGGCTTGGGTTCTTTAAGTTAATGCTTAAGACAAAAATCACATTTATGCAGAACTACCAATGGAACATACTTTAAATCACTAGTAAAATTCAGTACACAGTCTAGCATAGATACATAAGGTTTTTGCACAGTGTAACTGAGCTAACAACACATTTGTCTTCCATTTCACACTACATAAATTGTTACTTTTCCCTCTTTTATTTTTTTGTAAATTACATGCACATAGATCTCATTCCACGGTGCAGAGTTTTACTCAAGGCACAGTGAAAAACCTTAAAGATACAATCTCTGTTCTCTGGCATTCAAAATGTGTTAATGTCACTTTTTTCCCCCTTTACCTCTAATGAACAGTCAGTCATACATATTGTAAGCATTTTGTGTTACGGTCAAACTAATTATAAAAGTTCTCTGTCACCCTTCCAAATAACTCTCTTGACCATCTCCTGCTGTCCACTGACTTCCTGGACAACTCGCACTGCATGGCCACACCAATTGCTTAAGTAGTGACTGGGGCTCATTTGGGGAGCTTTGAAACCATTTTTGAGATTGTGTTCTGTGCTACGTGGCCCCATAAATATCTCTTTCTTTCAATTGTTGAAACGTTAACGATGTGCTCTGTATGCTGCTGCATTTTGTCCAGGAATGCTTTTTTCTTCTTTGCTTTCCACACAGTTTTTAGCACACTACTGCAAAAGCTGGTGTACTTGGTTGGCTTCAAGGGATCAATTGAAAACGCTTTAAAAGCAAACATCGGTGGAGCGAGGTTAAGTGCTCAGTATTCATTCCAGCGGTGTGAGGGCGCTCGTCGACCACAGACCCAGCCCTCCGTAGTCGCAGGGAGCCAAATGCACTCGTGTCATCTCTTAAGAGATGTCCCATCATTCTCAGATTCTCTGGTCCCCAAAGTTCAAGAATTTCATTTTGCAGCCCTTTCCTCATGACCCTACCCGGTGCACTACAATGCTCACTGACTAGTTTGGCGCCTTCCGTCAGTCGCCGTTCCCTGTGGATCCCAGCTCCCCTGGGGTCCGATACTTTTTCGCATATCCTTCCGATTATTAGTCCAGCTCTTCCAAAGTGCCCGGAATATCACGAGCCATAAAGACAAGCCACACAAGAGTCCTAAATCTTTGGACGCACCTTGTTTCCTCAGCTTTCCCCCTAAACCTTGTCCCTGGCGAGAGTCGAACCCCTACTCCGCCTGCGAAGCCGGGGCCGGTCCCGACGCCCCCACCCCAGCTGCGGCCGGCCCCGCGCGGCTCCGCACATTCCTCTAGGGTCCTCGGCACCACGTTGGCACCACTGCCTCGCGGGATCGCGGCCAGGCCCGCCCTCGCCACTCACCTAGCAGCTCCGCGATGGCACTGAAGGGTCGCGTGTGGCTGCTGGAGTTGCTCTGTAGGTAGCGGGGGCTCATCTGGGGGCGAGAGAAGGTCCCGTCCCGCGTGAGGCCTCGGCCCGCCGGGCTCTCCCCGCGCGACCCCCACAGCCCCGGGGCCCGCGCGCGTCCGCCCCCTCTGGCCCCCGA